TACCAAGGGCTGTGAACGGAGCGTTTTGGCAAGAATCACGAGACCAGCGACTTGCATGGCTTTCCCTCGGTGTGGTGATTTGTCCATGGGGAATTGGTTTCGTTCTTTTTCCTTAATTCAATTATGTTTTCTTTGTTGCCTGGCTCCAAGAACCTTCTCGGAAGGCATTTGCACCCTCCTGGCACCCACCCCAAACACCACCTTAATTAACTGGAGCTCTACTATAGGGTTCTGACCCCAAGTACGTCCCCATGACACGAATCATCGCGCCCGCAGGCTGGGGATCGAAGAGCGGGCTGAAAAATTGGAGTTGCTCCACTTGTTCGTTCTGAAGCTTCAATTTCCCTTCCCTACCAGTCGAACCACCATTTTTTTTAATGGCCAGATCATCCCAAACAACCATTGTTTGACCTATAGGGTGTTACACTACAAAACCAATAACATGGTCGACTTGACTTCCAGGGCCCTGCTTGTCAGGTGCGCGCTTTTCAGTAAAAAAAAGAAAAGGGGGCATCCTGCCTCTCCCGTTTTTTCATCCGCCATGTGGACATGAGTCGAATGCGTGGACATGAACAATGCCAGGCATCCTCTTCTCACTCGGATCCAGACCTTCGCTTCGTCCAAGGATCCGGTGGAGCGTTGGACGGCGTGTCAAGAGCTCGCCGCGTTGCCGGAGGAGGAGACCACGACATGTCGGTGGCCGTGGCCGAGACCGATGTGACGAAGGGAGGCTTCTAAGAGTTGAATGGACGAGTGTCAATGGAGTTCTCACGCAGCCAACTAGTCAAATAGAACTAGCGGTTGGCCTGCAGAGGCGGGGAAAATGGACTATTTGTGTCAATTGAGTACTCCATTGACACTTGTCATATCTGACGTCATCATGACGTCTTGACTCCATGGAATGACCGAAAAAGACCTGAAGGTCCTGGAGAGGTCCTGCCATATTCGCAAACCATGGGGGTGGTGGACCTGGGGACTTTCTGGGGCGGCATATCTTCCAGTCCCAGACAGGTCGTGTCTGGGATATGATTGGATCTTTTTCCACCCTATAGGCTTCCTGGCCAACCATTGTTTCAATGGCCTGATTCCTGAACCACCAGCTGTTTCACTCAGGATCTTACACTACAAAAAGCCCAGGTCAACCCGAACTCTTTGAATGGTCGAACGGAAGCCGGTCCAGGTTCCTGGACCCAGTCCCTCTCGACGTGGGACTGCCAGTCCGGACTGGCCTACATAGGACTGGCAGACACTTCGAAAGGGTTTAGGCAAAAACACGTACGTCTCTTAGCAGATCACTGTACTACTACTAATGTCATTAGCTTCGAAAAGACCAGATCATCATCAATCCCAACCACTCCATCAATGTATGCCATAGGACTGCCGATCAGTTGGGATGGTTGCATTGACCTGGGCTCAATGTAGACATATATTCCAGTCCCATGGATGGTCTGGGTGATGGATTTAATATGATTGAATGCTTGTGTGTATTTTTCTTCCTGGCATTTGGACGCAGAATTGCACGGGGTCTAGCATGACCAAGATGACCAATTGGACGAACAAAAACACCACCATCTACCACTTCTTTTGTGGGTTTATTGGGCCCCACTCATGAGTGGCAAGTGTGACATGTGTGACACTGAAAAGGCGGTGAACCGTCAACTTATAGAAAATCCACCAGGACAAAATGCCCCACAATACTGGAAAGAAGAAGCTCTCCTAAGTAGTAACCCAAGCAGGGAACAATAAGAATAAGTATATACCAGGACCCTCCTGTCGGGGTGCCCTGTCTGGAAGCCTATAGGTCGTGTGGGGTAGTCCAGCCAGGACACCCTGCCACAAAGAGGTGGTGTTTAGTGCCCAAGTGAGTGGATGTTCTGGGCACCCCCAACCTCCATGGATCGCACCCTTTGTGGCTGCTGGTATATACATTCACACCATTACATACCAGCACCCGGTCCCAGGTCCCCAGGTCCTTCGTTTTTCGTCGTTTTTTCGGTCCCAACGGGTCGAAGCGAACCGGCCGAACGAGCCGAGACGAGACGAGACGAAGAGGTCGAACTGGCAGGTATTCCCACTGAGGACACGTTGCTTGTCATGTATCTTTTGCTCTTGTGCGCGCGTGGCGCGTGCGCGTCGCGCGTGCTGCTGTTTTGAGACACGTTGCTTTGTTTTCCCCCCCTTTCCGCCCTGGGCCCCTGTGTGCCCCTCCAGTTTCCACACAAGAAGCCAGGAGCTGCGTGAGCACTGTGGCTTCTTGGTCGGCAAACGTGATCGAAGCCGGTGATGAAGATGTAGTGCTGGAACACCCTGGCACATCCTAGGAAGGAGTAGGGTGACTATGAGTGACTAGCATCTCAAGTCTTCTCGTAGCAGGACAGATTGCTGGAGTGAACCCTTCAGATTCTGCATTGAATTTCCCAGCGTAGATATCATTCACCTCAAGAATGGGTCGCGGCATTCATGCAAGGACTTCCCACAAACCCCGGGAGAGGACCGTCCAGCAGGGCGAATATCCCTCGAGAGAACCCCACAGGAGCGAGAAAGAAGTGCTTCGGAGCCACAGACTACACAAAGAATGGTCTGACTGGGTGACTGGGTGACCCGAGTCTAGGAATTTCCTGTACTCGAACTGAACTTCAGTGAACTTCAGAACATCGTCGAACTGGACTTCTTTTTGGGGCCTTTGAACGGAGACCTTTCCGGAGCCCACAGCAAAAAAGTTACTGTGCAAGTTGCCTCACCACCGACTTACGCACGTTTCAAGTCACCGTGGGCCATCAGACCCCCCTTTACGAGAGGAGTTAAACCATGTTAAACCGAGCCATTTGGCATCACCGTGTCCTCTTGCGGAGAGACGACCGCTTGTGATCAGTTCTCCGAGTACCAAGAAGGCGAGGTCGCCGCTTCCATGGGAATGACTCGGAGCGCAACCTCGTTCCTAGGGTACTTGAAGTCGAGTCCGGGTATATGTTTTGCACCCACACAGTTCTCGGAGGACGCCCTTTTGGAAGACTTGCAACGTGGGAAAGACAATTATTCAATGAGTTCTGCTGAAATGATGACCTTTCGCACCAGGCTATGCTCCCCAAATCATTTTCGGAAAGCCAAACCTGAACTGCTCAGCATTTCAAAGTGGGAAAAAAAAGTCACAAAAGCTCTTGACCTTTCTAGAACCTAGTCTTCGTGCCCCTCGCAAAACATCATTTGTAACACCCAAGCCTGATGCTCCAGCATGGGATCGATTCACACATTGACACCCCCCCCAAACACCCCAGGTGTGGCTAGTCCTTCGGACGGCAGTGTCTACCTAGAGAGGTTTTTCACAGCCCATCCAGGTCGCCCATCCCAGATGTACCACCCATCCCAGGGTCCGAACGTCCTGGTCTCTGAGACCTCTGCAGTGGGCTGCCGGTCTAGGTGTCTTGCTCAGCATCAGGTGTCTTGCTGGGCTGCTTGAAGGATCCGGAGTTCTTCGTCCGCTCCACTGCCTGCCGTGCACTGGAACACCTGGAGCCGGAAGCCTTTCTCGATCCGGACGTGCCGCTGGGGAGAACCAAACCACGACACGGCGCACAAGCAAAGGGAGGCTGGTTGTAACACCCTGCTACACTCCCTGAAATGATTGGAACATCTTGGAACACATGGAAGCAGCGTGCGTTTGCATGCGTTTGCAGTATCAGCTTCAGCCAATCTGTCTTCTTTTTCAGCCAGCTCCACCCGGAATTTTTTTCACACGGAACCTTAGACCTTTAGACTATTTTCCTCTACAACCAGCTGGTCTTGGGGTTCTATAACCAGGTGCTTTGAGCCGCCCGAGGCTCGGGCTGTGCCTCTCCGACCGCACCGCGGTCGCTGTGCGCCGCTCCGCCGCGGCGGCGGCCGCGGCTGCGGCGCGGGCGGCGGAGGTGGCAGAGGTGGCGGCGGTGGCGGGGCTGCTGCTGGAGGCGCTGCAGGATGAGGAGCGAACTGGGACGGTGGGAGGAGGAGGAGGAGGAGGAGGTGAGGAGATAGGTTGTTTGGTTATATGCATGAGTTAGGAACATAGATATGGTGCGATCCAGCTGGGGTGAGGTGTGGAGAGCCCTTATGGCAAAGAGAGTTCTCAGGTTCTGGTGAGAAGATGTTCTGAGGTTCTTCTGTGGCAGAAGGCTGATCCTTGAGTGAACAACCCTTGCGTTGACACAACTCACTCAATGTCACAAAAACAAGTTGTGGAAGTGGGCGATCGACCTCCGATGTATTTGGGATGGTTGCCGGTTGGTGGTCCAAGGGTCAAATTATTGGTCCAACATGATTTCTACAGTATGTACCCTGGAAGTCCAAAACCATGTTCAATATGGTTGATTTGGTTTTGAAGTGTGACATCCTTAGTAAAACTATACTGGTAGAGACCATCGAAGCAATGGTTCTTCCAATCCTAGCTAGGGCTTATATACCAAGACTCAAGACCGACATCGACATGCCACCAATTCCACATGTATGTATATTCTGGTGGGTGCTGGTATGTATTTTTATTTTGTGGACCTTCCACATGCGGAGCATGCGAATTGGCTTCCCAAGAAACAACGAGAACTGGTTCTATTCACATCGAATGATCTTCTTCAATGGATGTAAAGCAATGAAAGACCTTCTTCTGCACCCCCACTTGCGGGAGCTTTCAAGCTTTTTCAAGTCTGTGTGCTTATCCCCTCAGTTGAGCCTTATTGTATCCGCATCTCCTGCATTGTTGAGTCTGTGTACGCTGCACTTTTCTCTGAATGTGCCAGCTTCATGTCATGCGATTGCGCCCCGGCCTGGGGCTTGGGTCCCGAAGCTAAGGCTCCAAGTGCATCGGAACAGAAAGCCGCCAACTTCGAGTTGTGGAAGCCTTACCAGAGGTATCCAGTGACCGTACATAGGACCCGTCACCTGGGGTACCGGTTCCTGGGATAACTGATAGTCGAACTGTCGGGTTCTGACCCATCTTTGTTGGTGCTACCATGAGGCGTCTCAATCGTCTCATGTGGCCAGCCCGGTCAGCGCGTCAGCTTCGGTCGAAGGATCCTTTGGTCCGCTGGTCCTGTTGCAAGGCCGCCGCGGACGGGTCGGACGGAGGATGGGTCGACACGACCAAGCGGGATGGGTCGACATTGGCACGGCACGGCCCGGCCAGTGTGATACACACTCTTTGCTATGTCAAGGGAACCTTGGAAAATGGAACAGAACAATGAAGCCGAATCTGATTCCGGGGTTACTTTAGAGTGTATGTCAATTTCATTTTCCTTCAGATCGGGCCGTTCACGTTCACGGCCCGCGGTGTGGTAGCTCTCCAGCGACGACGTGGCACCACAGGCCTTGGAGCCCATGCCGCCTTCACAGCTGGCAGCCCACCTGAAGGGCCGCATTGCAGAAGCTCGGGTGAATCCCCAGACCTGGAAAACTGACTGAAGTCCTACCATGTCCTACCCGGTTCTACCATGAAATCCTTCCATGGGGGACTTTCAGCAGGCATCACATGGTCGCCCCATACCTGGCCGTTGATTTCACCACCAGCTTCCTGGGAGCAGCCTCCAAGGAGCTCTGCACTGCTCCGCGCGGCAGACGACTGGCGCAAACCGGTGGCGCGAAGGATGTGCTGGTGCGGAGCTTTGTGCTGAGCGTGTTGGCGCGATTGGAGGACCGGGGCGGGAGGACGTCAGACGAATGGCAGGACACATGGCTTAGCTGATCACGCCAGCCAGGATCAGCTTGAACATCCTGGAAAACACCTGTTTGAGGGGATACGCTTCCCACCAAAACTGAACATGAACATGCATGCAGATGGACAGTTCTAACATGCTTTGACCTTATTCTGATCCCGGGCACTCTCCTGACCAGCTTGGGAGCCAGCACCAGGCTGGCCAGGGTGGCGGCCGAAAATGCTGGTCAGGTGGGATCGAGTGCTGTTCAGAACTGGTTTGTACTAGACGGTCGTGGCCCAGTGGATGATGGATGGGGTCTGTCCTATACCTGTAGAGCCGTCAAGTTTCACAAGGGCATCACTATGTTTGGACAAGGCCTGGAACAGTCACCATCATCCACTGAAACCAGGTAGACTTGGATAGACCCAATGGATGGGATGCCCTACAATTCCTGGCGCACCAAGCAACCGTTGCTTGACTAAGGCTTACTGGCTGACTAAGGATGTTGCACCAAAAACAGGTCACAATCATTGGTAAGGATCCGTACACCTTAGTTCAAATCCTTAACTCTTACCAGGTCCTCCGTTCATTTGCAGGGCGATTGTTCTAGAGTCTAGACTACCACGAGCGATCGCGCAGGATCCGGACTACTTAAGCCCGGAAGCTTCCACCTTGGCCAGCTGCTTGGAGGTGCGAGAAACGAAAGCACGGTTTGGACTCCAGTCGTGCCTTGTGAGATTTGGTGTTTGGGGTGAGTTTAGGGGGTCCCAATTACCTAACCTGAGGAGGTACGACTGGAGCACCTTCGGGTTCTTGTTCTCCTTGGGTGAATCCTCCAAACAATGAGGGGTGTTCTTCCAGCAGTCACAAACGGGTGCTTAATGGAGGATAGGGGTGCCCAGACCATCCACTCACTTAGGCACTAAACACCACCTCTTTGTGGCTTCTGGTTTGTTCTTCTTCCCGCTTTGGCAAGCAACTAGATCAAAATCAAGGGGCCACAGGCACGGAATGTCACTTCAACGGCTTCCGCGGACAGCGCCGGAGAACACTCTTACACGAACGTACCCGGTGTCTCACGGATGTAACAGACGCCTTGGCAGCCATACCCCAGACACTCCATGGGACTGCCATATATGCCTACATTGACCCCTCAAACCACCCCAACTGATCGGCAGTCCTATGGCAGTCCCATAGAGTCTGGGAAACTTAAAGGTTATCAACTGACCGCGTATGGAAATCCCAGACACTCCATGGGACTGCCATACACTGGGGTACTGCCAATCCTTGCCGTGCTTTCTCATGCAAGTTGTGGGTATTATCCGATCCCACCGGGCGACCGGGCGACGCCCAGCGTTCCAACAGAGGTGGGTCAGAACCCGACTCTTCGATCTATCCCAGGAGTCCCGGTACCCCAGGTTTTCCGGGTCCGTATGAAACCGGTCACTGGATACCTCTCTTGGTGTCTGGTGTCTGGTGGCCCAACGTGTTCGCAGTGCATGTGCGCTGCAGTGGTTTTGGCGGTTGTTTTCCTGCTGCCCCGCAGAGGCATAAGAACCACACCCTCAAACAGATGAAGAGATTGAAGAGGATACATGCATTGCAGACAGATCCGCACAAACACCCACACAGCACACATTCCACCGCCCTGGTGGTTACTAATGCCGTCATCATGGGCTTTGGGAACATGCATCCTTTGTTTTTTTACATCATGTTAATTATACCTTCTTATGCTCGGCGTCTTCTTATGCTAGGAGTGCCATGTTTGACCTCCACCCAAACATGTTGGCAGTTGAACAGGGTTGCAAATTCGCACAGTTCAACAAGTTTAGTTGAACAGTGCCATGTTTGGGTTATTCAATTCCAAGGTTATGACCTACATGAAATTCCATTGTAACCTTGTAATGTCATATATATATATGACTGGGTTTGTAGGTTGTGTTGCATTGTAATGGCTGGTTTGTTTATATAACCAAGGTTGCAATCTCACTCATGCACCGCACCGCCCCAGTGCTCAGCGACTCCTAAATGGGAGAGTCTGGCCGACCGGTCGAAGTCATGCAGACCTTCCAACAGAGGTGGGTCAGAACCCGACAGTTCGACTATCCCAGTTCGGTACCCCAGGTTACGGCCCTATTGACGGTCACTGGATACCTCTCTTGGTTAGTGGTGAGTCCATTCTTTGGGAGATGAACTCCTAGGGCTGTCCCATGTCCTCAGGTGACCGGTGGTTAGATAAGTCAGACCCCCCCTGTCACCACCCACCCCTGTCCCATCGAACCGAAACGGAGGTGGAGCCCTAAGGCCCTAGGGTCCTTTCAGAAGTTTCACTTTTGTGGGGGGGACCAAAGCAGAGTGTGCAAACAGATCTTCCGGGAGAACTTACAAAACTATCGTGTTCAGGCTTTCCGTTGAGCTCCCGTGTTCAGTCGATTTTTGTGCCCATCAGGCCGCATACCCAGTCAGTGGAGAAGCACCTCATTTAATGACCATTTTGGAAGGTTTGTTCCCCCACTCCAAAACCCTAGGCCTCCAAGTACCTTCTAAGAAGGTGTTTGGGGCGGGTTTAGAGGGCCCAAATACCTTCAAAGGAGGTACGACTGGAGCCCTAGGGCAAATGAATACAATGCCCAAACGATCCATGGGACGGCCAATATGGCCAACATGACTGGTGGTGCTGCCCCATGGATCCTCAGGGGATGGACACCATTTGCTTCACCCTTTGCCAAACCCATGCTTCGTTCGTCCGGCTAGAACCGTCCACCCCCCGCCGAGAAGTCCGCCAGGACGTCGCATGGAAAGTCCGTCGGGGAGCATGCCAAGCCTTGGGTTGGTGAGCCTTGGCCACTACCGAGTGGCAGCGGACAGGGGTGGTGGGGATTGGTTGCTAACAAGGGCGAACGAAGCCATACCTTTCCCCGGTTCGGTCTGACTTGACCCGAAACATGGCACCCAGCCCAGCCGACCTTCGCGGAACGAAGGTAGTTCTTCCGGGATGCTGATCGGAACAGGTACTGGCGTTGTTGAAGAAGAAGGGCTGCGCAGCAAAATCTTGAATGCCATGCAAAACCACTGTTTGGGGATGTGGTTGGTGAACTTTCTGGCGGAACAAACGCGTGTCACACAAAGAATGCATTGGTCAGCTACAGGCAATAAATATGCATGGTGCGTGGCCAAACTGAATTCCTTCAGGTGGTTGAAGCAGTTCTTGACTTGGCCCCTTCCACCGAAGATTTTTTTGCACAGGCACTGTCTCAGCTTCAGCGGGTGTAGTCCTCCTAATGGTAAAGTGCCCAGAGGTTGAGCCGAGCCCTTCTAGCAGGGAATGTGCTCACAGGACAGGCAGGACATTGCCGACGTGATTTCCATGTGTCCTTCTTTTCCCCCACAGCGGATGTCGCACCGGGCAAGCTGCGGTTTAGTCCACTAAGCTTTGTGCTTTTGTTCGCCCATCATTGGCCACGGGTGCCTGCTAGGCACTTGGTTTTCACCTAAGAATCCTTTCCCCAAAACATCCATGTATCAGATATCGACATGTATGGACGCTACGAACGTAACAATGTTCGCTACGAACGGGGCGAACCTGGCATCGCTACGAGTCCCGAGCGATCGGACGCGAACCGCTAGCTACTCGGGGGGGCCGGTTCCGAATGGAGCGCGCCGGAGTGCCGTCGGGGTGCGAACCTGTCACATCCACTCACTGGGGACTAAGTCACATCTAAACAGGTCTCAACACCACTCCATTTTGTGACTCCTGGTGTGTGAGAACAGCATACCTGGATCATCCTGTTTTTTTTTTGGTGCCACCCACCCAGACCACTATCCAGGATCTCCAGCCAGGATGGTCACAGATCTTGACATGATGAGGCTCCGAGTTCGGAGTTGGGTGGACTTCCAGTGAGTCGATCCTCTCAGTGAGTCGATCCATGACCCCAAGTCAAGTCAAACCACCCAGGAGTTACAAGATGGGGTGCTGGACGAACGGCGGAAGTGACGACTAATGCCCCGACAGCACATCCACGGCCCCTGGATGGGACCAATACCACCCCGACGTGTGACTCCTGGAGCTGTTTTAGTTAAAAATAGTCGACTTGACTTCCAGGGTCACTCTTCCAGTCCCCTCAGAGCTGCTGAACGCCTCCACGACCGGCCGCGCTTCGGCTTCGCCACCAAGGCCACTCCGCTGCCGTGGCGCCGCACGCCGCCGCGCTCGCGCGCTGCGTGGACGACGACGACGCGCGGGTGGCGCGGAGTGCACTGGGGGCATTGAGGCGCTGTGGTGACTGGGCATTGAGGCCGTGGCCTGGTTTTGTTTAAGCCCAGACGCTCATGGACCGTACCCGAATCCTCGGTTCAGGCATCCCCACCCGAAGCAGTCCCGGTTTGAGGGACCGGGAAAGGCCTGTGAACGGAGCGTCTGGGAGGTGCTTTTTTTTAAGGTTGTTGTTCTTTTACCTATGGGCAAGCCCCCTTCTGGATAGTATTGTTTAGGTTTTATTCCAGGTTACCTTGAGCAAATCCAAGGTGGGCTCAGCTGCTCGCAGAGCACTTTGATGAGGAGGAGCCTAGTCAATTTCGAGTGAAGACATGTGAAGAATGAAGAGGGCAAGCCCTAAACAAAGCACCCCCAGTCCTGGTGATTTCGAAGGAAGATTGAACCCCCAGTTTGCCAGCGGTTGTTGTAACATCCAAATGTCCTAAGCTACCTATAACATAGCTGTCTAGTCCTGCAACCAGGAGTTCACCCTTTGCCCATTACAGCAATTTTAGGTTGCAAATCACACAGGCCCTCAAGGTTTCAAGATTGTGTCTTGCACCTAGGTACAGCCTGGTTAGTGTAGTCTCAAATGTGATAGGCAGCCTGTTCAATGCTGTCTCTGAGTTTTAGTTGGCGTCCACAAGGAGAGGGTGACCTAAGTAGAGTGACTCAAGTGATAACTGGACTAGCTAACGGCACATGATAAAACAATGTATATAGCCTTTGAATGTTCTCCGTTCAATGTCAGAGAACCCTTTCATTTTCGTATCTTCAGATTTCCTTTTATGTACGCCCATGTCGGAAAATGTGCGTTTACAAGCATGGCAGCTTCAGAACTTGCTGCAAGCTTTTGTTCAGAATGCTACATCGCATCCTTTGGCACACGTTGAGCGATCAATGCATATCACAGGAGCTGATTGAAGTTTTGCAGCATTATTTGAACTTGGATGCCTTCAATTCAAGCGTCGCAAGTTGAGAAGCTCGCTGATTGTGCGACAATTTCAGTCTCGTTGCGCAAAGCTGCGGCACAAGTGCAAGAAGCTGCAAGCTGAAGTAGATTTGATCAAAGGTGAAAAGCTAGCTGGGTGAGTGCAGCATATTTGGTGCATTAGGGCTGGGCTGGCTCCACCCAATATCCCCCCCGCAGTCCCTCAGTGAGTTGTGCAAAGACTTGTGGGGCTGAGGAAGCTAAGGTTCTGTCCAGAACGTACATCACCCAAGTGAGGGATGCCTTCATAATCAAAATAGCTAATGTTGCAGAGGTGACCTTCGAGGCTTCAACATGCTTCAACAACTTTGCAGAGTCAATCAGGAAAAGCCCCGGCCATCATTGTTTCTCATTTGCATGATGAAGCCTCCCTGAAGCTTCGCTCTTTTGACTCGGAGCTGGTGGGACGGACCCTGAGAGCGAGGTACTCCAAGGTTCAGAACGAGGTTGTGCGTGTGAAGTTTCCCAGTGGAAAGACTGTAGGCTTAGGGTATTTCGCAGAATTCCAACCTTTGCTGAAAAAAGACTCTGATACCATAGCGCAGGCTTTAGCAAACACTGCCAAGAACGTGATACTGTCATTGCTTGACCAGCCAGCGACAAGGCCTTCGCAACCTCTGAGATTGATTTACAATTTGACTGGGGATGGGATAAATATAGATTTGGCCTCAGCCAAGAAGATGTCCTCCTTCTTTGCGCAAAATGCATCCTACCACGGCACACGCGTTGATTTGCGATTGTGGTGTGTCCGGTGTGCATCGCACGTGGCTAATCTGGTGGTCTTAGTTGCATTAGTTGGCGGGATATTTTCTGCTCCAGTGGACAATTCCGATCTATGTGCTGCACTTGTCCGGTGGGACAAGTATATAGTCCAATATGTGGAAGAACTGAACTCGTCTTTGCGCGCTTTCCTGCTGAGCAACTTTCGTGTACTGGTGGGCGACCCAAACGAATCCAACTTGCCATGAGCCCAATCTACGGCAGAAATCTTGGGATCTGCAACGACTGTATGGACGGGACACACTTCCGGATGAGTTGCTGCAGCTTTTCAATCGAGGTCTTGGTGTGTGGGTGCATGTTTCCAAGAAAGTGGGGGAGGAGCATTCCTGTTTACAAGAAGCATTTCGGCTACTTTCGCATTTGGTGCTTTCTTGCAGGAGAGACCGCAACCGACGCGGTTTTGACACTTTGCGGCATGTGCTCGAGCACTCCTCCGCATGCGGATGATTGGGATTACTAAAGAGGTGCTGCAAGTTACAACAACCTTCCACTGAGAACGCGGATCAGTATGAGAAGCTGATGGCGATCGGCGCCAGTGAGCCTCTTCTTTCGGCCCTTGCCCCTGGCCAAGCGTATCTTTGTCGATTTGAGTTCTTTGAAACTAGGCGTGGACATCACAGGTTACACCGAGATCTCTTATGATGATTTCAACCTAGAGCATTCGGATTCCCTGCAGAAGTTGGCCGCCTCTATCCCACCGAAGGTGGCTCGAGGGAAGTTGTTGTTTTCGATATAGCTGGAAAAGTTTAAAGTTTAAAGGTTCTTTTTGAGTAAGTCACGCCATGTTGAGTCGGTTGGGTGCAGGACTTGGACCGAGAGATCCCTTCCTTCCAGTTCTTGTCGAAGTACAAGCCGGCGTCTGACAACTCCACGCCGGCCACCGCGAAAATGCCGTGGCAAACAAAGAGGATAAGGAGACAGCCCCTGCAGCTCCGACCCAGCAGCCGACAGAAATTCACTCTCCTTCTCCGGCGGTGGCCATACAGTGATTGGGGATAAGGCCCTTTTTGGGAACAGCAGAAACACGCAAGGTTTCGTTTCCAAACTTGTTGAGCCCAGTTGTTGCCTAATAAGATCACGTTCTTTTTCGAAAGATTTTTCCCAATATCCTGGAGAGGTCCAAAAAGGCCACGAAGCAAAAGGAGTTCTACAATGACAAGTTGGCCACAGTGGTCAATGTGCTCGCCAATGACAACTTCAAAGTGCTCTTGGAAGAGGGCAAGAAGAAAGGTGAAAAGCGAGAGTATGAAGGCCGCTTTCTCACCAAAGTTGTTCCCGAGCCAGCTGCTGAGCAGCCTGAAGGCAGTGAGCTTGAAGCGTCAAAAAGCTCTTGAACTGTTGGGAGATGCAGATGACATCTAGTGGCCATTTTCCCAACCGGCCCACAGACAGGCGCAACCAGCTGGAAGGGGTCCATGAGCACGCTAATAGGCACTAATGCACGCTAATACACATTGTGCTGCTTCCTATAAGGCCAGTAGCAATTGTTACCTAAGCAATTGAAGGGCGCCATAGGTGCAACTAAAACCTATCAAAGACACAAAATGCTTCAATTTCCATGTTGTGCTCCATGAAGGTGATTTTTTCCAACCTTTGCTTTTCTGCCTTGCTCTCTTCCAAGCCATCCCAGCACCCAGCTGGGGTGTGAGCAAGATTGTTTCTGCTATTTGGTTTCGCTTGCTTGCTTTCCAGAGCGCGTGAAGAACACATAGCAGCAGCGGGTTGCAGTAACCGATCCTATCATCCATCCCTTTTGGTTTGATGCAAGGGGCTGAAGTACCCTAGGGCTCCAGCCGTACCTCCTCAGAAGGTACTTGGCACCTTCTTAGAAGTACTTGGAGAGACTCCTGGGGTTCCTTGATTTCTCTCTTCCGGAACCGGCTCCTCACCTGCCGGTGCAGGACGAGAAGATGAGAACGGCTGCCCTGGTGGCCTTCGCACAGATCAAAGGCAGTCGTGCCGGTCGACCGGTGCCGGTCACGGGTGAAACGCCGTCGACCGAACCGGTGAAGGATGAGAGCGGTCTTATAATAAAGAGGTGCCAGTCGACACGACACGCCTCGTTCCGACTCGTTAGTGAGCGAGCTTCATCCCCCAGTTTGAGGTCACTTAGACCTTCATATGTGGATCATATGTCGGCTCATGAACATCAACCACGCCAAGTTCAGCCCACGTAAGCAAGATGTTTTAGGGGTGCGGGGCGCCTCTCTGCGGTGTTCCCCGCCAGGTGCCGAGGTCCTTTCCCCGCACGCCACGGCGCTGGCGGCGAGTGCGCACGGTTCGGAGCCGGGCCCCGTGCGCCGCGCCAGCTGCCAGGCGAACAGAGCCGTTGGTGGAGGGAGAGCTATGCAACTATTTCCGGTCCAAAGGTGTTTTAGGGAATGGAGATGGACCAGTGACTCAAAAAATGAGTGCTAAGTGCCACCTAAGTGCTGCTAATTATTGTCTATAGCTATTTATGCGACACCTAGAACCTGACGGACCTTTATTTTGGAGGATCAGCTATCCAAAATATGGCCCTTTCCTATCAAAAAGGAGGTCCAATGGGTTTTAGGTAGCTATATTTGCTGGTTGTTTTACGGGGATGGATCTTGGGTGCACAAGAAAGGGGCTCCAATTTGGCAGCCGGCGGCCATTTCTTTACAACCTCCGTTCAACCGTCCTGACAGCATACGAGTCGCAGCCCTAGTATAGCACTGCTTGCGTGGTTTTAGATGTTTTCGCTCAATGGTGATCTATATTATATGCGCATCCGGCAATATCTAGTGCATACTACGTAGTCACAGGGTGGTCTTGGGATATTGGCAACCGATAGGGGCCGACCCGTCTACCGATGCCCTTTTGATGTACCGGCCACTTTAGGAAGCACGCTGCCATTTTACATTTGTAGCTGGCGCAAACACTTGGTATGTTACTCTTCTCAGATTGAGGTTGCTTACGGCAGTATACAAGACGTGTTGCAACCGACAAATTTCCAACCACTGGATTTGCTTTCTCACCGCAGAGCCTTACTGATGCCCCAACCGATGCTAACATGTTTGTGCCCGTGGAAGAGCAACTCCTCCACAACTTTTACAACCACTACACTCTGAACATGTTTTTGTCCATGACACAAAACTCCTCCACAACTTACACAGCCACTACACTTTGAACATGTTCGTGCCCATGGAAGAGCAGCTACCCCACAACTTGTGCAACCACTACTGCAGTTCATTCGTGCCCTCATTGTTGGCATGCCAAACTATGGCAAACTTGATGCCACCAACAAAGCTTGAAACGCAGCCAACCCTACAAAAAACTGCACAGCCGATGGCCGACCCATTCTAGGCAATGTTTTGAGGCTAGCGGCTAGGCAAGAGATTTTGTCCGGCACACATGTCCCAGGGCATCCAGTTACCACTATAGCTGGTAACCAGTGGTTCCAAATACTAAAGCCATAGACCTAGAACCCCCTGGTTCCCCTGGTCCCTTGTATAGTGGTAACTGGGCCGCGCGGTGCCAGGCCCTCTCCCGGTGCCATCCACAGGCGGTTCTCCCGGGGTGTTTTATGGGACGTGAGATCGGAGGGTTTTTGGGTGACGGGCACCAGTTCCATTGAGATTCCAACAAGGGGACCATGGGAATCCAGCCCTGCACATGCTCCGGGCTTGCTCCTTTTCACCCTTGGAAGACCTCCAAAAGAGGAAATAGACCTGTCTGGTCGCCTAGCCATTGGTTGGGAGGTCCCTTACACACTCATTAGATTCTTGTCGACTTGAACCACTCAAATCCATATTTCAAAAGTTGACTTCATTGACCGGGTGGATGCGTCGATGGCGCCCGGTGTCGAGTGCAATGCCGGTTTCTGGGTTCCATGCAGGCTGTGAAGGATTATTCGTGGATGGACCCAGAAGGACCCCCAGGATCATGTTCAGAAGGCAGGCACAGACACCTCAACAGTTTCACCGAAGAAAATAGAAGCCCGCACAACCATAGTGAGCCCGGGATTGATTTGATTCAAGTCTGTGGATTCCCACTGCCCCTCCCTTGTGCAGATGTGCAGATGTGCGTGACCCCACCGCAAGACGCGCTGGCCGGCTTCGGGAGAACGGCAGCGTCATGGGTCCAGACATGCGGGGGTGAAGCCGGGTTTTGCGGCTGACCTACATGAACACCCCCTGACAATCCATGGGGCAGGATCCATATGACCTACATGAAGAACACCACCAGTGTAGCCACCAGTCATGTTGGGACTGCTAGTCCCAATGGATCGTTTGGGTGTGGATTCAGCTTCCCGATGAATCCCCCTTCTCGCCGTCTCGCCGTTTCTTTGGATGCTCCTCATTGGATGAATTCCTCTTCTCAAGATCCTAGAACCTGGTCATGACCTCTATTTTGGACCACCAACCACTCAAAATATGGCCCAACTTCCTATCAAATCAGAGGTCAGTTGAGTTCCAGGTATGTCTTGACGGGACTGTCCCGGCTTCCGGGGAGGGCTTACAGATCGGCGTGGCCGACGGGAGAGCTGGAGGTCCTCCAGCCCTACTTGCACCTTTTGGCGCCCTACATGGAGGACAGCCCTAGCTCACCGTGCAGCGGGCGAGCCTCAAGCCCGGCCTTTGACGCCCTGGGTGATGACTAACTAGAGGGGTCACCCCCTACCAAGTGTACCACCAGGTACATGGTACCCAGCAGTGAGAGCTCCTGTACTTCCCAAGGCGACCTCACTGGTTCATCACGCAACGGCGCCTTGTGTCCATCACAGCCGGCCAAACCGGATGCCAAAGAGGTGGTTCTGAGCTTACGGTCTCGCAGTCCGTAGGGCTCCAGGAAGTTACCTGCTCAGGTTCGGTATGACTGGACCCGAACATGACACCCACCCCAGTCCCACCGAACCGAAACGAAGGTATGACTGGAGCCCTAGGGAGTGTATGCAATGCTAATGGACTAATGGATATGATTCCTGCGCTGGGCTTCCTGATCTGGCGGCAGCCGCAGGATCAGGACCTTGAGGTCCGCATTGCGGTGTGCCAGGCCTTTGCGAAGTGCGACACTTGCCAAGTGAGAAAACGGGAAAACAGCTCATAACGAGCATCACTACCGGAGGATGTTGGGTTTGGATTGTGTTGTTTTTGCCTTGACATGTGCAACCATGCTACAATGTGCAGATCTCTTCCTTTTTGTGGTGAATCCAACACTTATATAGCTCCAGTCGTAGCTGGTAGGGTCTCGGATCCTCCTGGCACGCCCAAACGGGAGATCGATGGAGTACCCGTCCCTCCTTTCCAATCATGGTGGAAGTGGACTGGCCGGCCTGGAACACGGATTTTTTCCACCAACAGGGGTTGGAGTCCACTTCCATGGTTTGTTTCAGGGGGTGTTTCAGGTGTTCAGAGAAGAACATGTCTTTCTCCCGGCGCGTTCAACGCGACACGGTGCTGGGAAAGCCCTTCTATTGGTCTTCGTGCCGAGCGTGCTGAGCGACACGATCATGACCTCTTTTACGCTCTTGGTTGATCAATAAGAAAGGCTTTTTGCCACCAGTCGTTGTACAACCATTAGAATAGAACCCGTGGCTACTGACCTCACTGGCCCACCACCAGAATGCAACAGAACGCCGTGCGGATCAATCCATGGCCTGCAAAACCCTATATGCTATGCAAAACCCCTACCACTGGACCTCTCCCAGGGTGGTTTCACGACATACTCACTCCGGCGATTAAGATGTTGCACATCAGAATCATATGCACAACATGTTGCACATCAAAATCAAATCATTATCCTAGAAGTCCAAAGGCTGTATTTTGACCGACTGAAGTAAAGGAAATTCCTAGACTCGGGTCACCTAGTCCGACCATTCTTTTTCTAGTCTTTGACTCTCAGGGTTTTTATAATGACCTAGAATCTGATTGACCCCAGTTTTGGATAACATGGTCTTTTCCTATCCGAACAAAGGTCATGTCTGGGTTCTAGAGACATAAGATGTTAGCAAAAGAAGCCTTTCTTTTGGGATCTTTGGGGTACAGTGCTTCATCCTAAGGATCCCTCCTTCATCGCGCCTTACGTCTCCCCACTGGCTCGGCGTCTCAAGGCAGACGGTGTTTCGACCACGGGCTGACAGCCGCATGGCACATATATAACACTGGACCAAAAATGCATGGCAACCAGATGCAACAAGTAAGGATTTTTAAGGGCACACCAAGGAGGAACTTGAACAACAGTCCATGATTTGGGCACACTTGGTTTTGCCTTGCAACTTCTAATACCAACCATCCACGTGCCCTGCCTCACAGGACCTCTTTGCTTCCTGATTTTGGCTGTTCACCCTCCTTCATCCCAGTTCACGGGGGTGGAACTTGGAGCCGCTGTGGTGCATCCCCCTCTTCCGCCCCGGTGCCGGCGGGTTGACCCGCAGGACTGCCTGCTGGTGCGGTGGAATGCCTGCCGCGCCTTGCTGGAGTGCAAGCCCGCGCTGCTCCCCGGACCAAGCCTACGCGTCGCGACGGGCGCGGTGAACGTAGCAGCGTGAAGCCGAGGCAAAGCACGAGTAGTAAGGAACCAGGGATTCCAGGTGGTAAGCAGTGGTTCCAGTTCGACTAAAACCATAGACTCTATGGTTTTTGTCGAACTGGAACCACTGGTTACCAGCATACTATAGTGGTATGCCTGGATGCCCTGGGAAGAATTCAGCTCGGCACGGGGGGACGAATTCAGAGGTAAGGGCCTATGGCACGTGCCAGGGCCAAAAGGGCCCTCCTTGCGGGTCGTATTTATTGTATGGAGCTGTAGGTGACAGACATTTGTGGGTGCCAGTGCCATCTATTCTGAAACCATACATACCGAAAGTGCACATGAGAGCTATAACGTCATCTCTTGGAAGGTGTGAATGTCAGTTTGGAGGTGGATGTGGGTGGCCAAGATGTTCCATCGGAATCCACATGACCCCATGACCCACATGACCGCGAGAACGGGCCAAGACGGTCGATGAACCGCTGTCTTAAAAATGGAATTGCTACTGTGACACCGCTTGTACATCATAGAGTGTATAGACCCAAACATAGAAGTTCGTAAATCCTCACTTCAAATGTGATTATTGGACACCGTGCCACGATCTATTTGGGGACCACTATATAAATTATTAGCACGTAGCGTCAATGATCGTAAAATGTCTTGGACCCATCGACACTTTACTACTCTCCGGTCGATGGTGTTTGACAAGTCCAGTGCGAAGCTGAGACCAAACAAGACCGACCTCCAGATCTCCTGCCTGGGGAGGGTCCTCCTAGATGGACCTGAAACAAGTGGATGGGATCTGCGTCTGGATTCATGGATTCACTCGCGTCTCGATCGAGTCAGGTTGCTGCCGCATCTGGACTTGTTGACTGAACTGCTGCAAGACCACAACAAGCAGGTCAGGCAGCTGGCGCAGCGACTGCTGGCACGCTGCTTTCCCGAGGTGGGAAGGGAAGAACATTAAAAAGCTCGGTAAGGTGATCATGTTGTGCATCATCAGCACCAGCAGCCACACTGCCAGGTCGCCAATTGAGACCTTTGATGGGGTCCAACAACCCTTTAGGGTATAGAGGGGATTTGTTGGAGGGTGATGGTATAGAGAGCTAATACTTGCATTGGATAGAGACTCTATATCAGTATATATCGGTGGATTACTTCGTCTCGAGCCAGCAAGGGGAGTTCTATCACTTTGCTAGAGGGGGAGGGTCTCCACGACCAAGCGAGAAGCATGCTTTGTACATGCGGAGTGCAAGAAGTGTGGCTGATACTTCCATTTTTGTGACGAAGTGTGGCTTATTTTTTTTAGACGCTTTGAAGAGGGGCTTCCCTTGGCTGGACCGGCTCCCACCAACTGTTTGAACCCCCTCCCCAAGCGGTTTTGGTTTTCCTTGACGTGCCCAGCTCCCTCGAGGCCAGTCCGAAGACTTGATGCCCGGCAGTGGTCCACCGGTGCTCATTGCGTGGCGGCCGCCCAGCTGTGGAGGATGAGGTGCGTAACTCGGAGAGCTGTGAGGTGACGGAGCCGATGCGCTGTGTTCCAAGACTTTTTTGGGACGTGAAGAAGTGTGCCACACAACTTGGAGAAGCATGTTCTGGGTGACTCTTGAAGTGCTCTCAAGCTCGGGTCGTTGTGGAATAGCGGCTCAGATGTGAAATTGGCTTGAGTACTTGAGCCCCGGAACTTCTTCCGAACGGAACGTCGCTGACGGTCCAAAGCCTAGCCTGCCAGAAGCAACCGATGAGGCGTGCCATACGGTGTGCTATGTGCCTTTAGTTTAGTTGCCTTAATTCTTGGCGAGAAACTCGCCGATGGCCAGTGAAGCACGAGAAGCTGAAACTTGTAGTCAGTCTATGGCACATGCGGATTCTACAGTTGCGCTTGTACATCTTGGACTTGGAGCACCATAGCCGTGCTCCAAACTGGATTCCAGGCTGATGTTGTTTTGGTCGGAGACCAGTACTCGCGAACAACATCAGATGCCAAAGAAAAAAGAGTTGTCAGTATTATATATTACATATACACATGCCATCTGGCCAATACTCCAATAAAGTCCATCCTATAGGCAAGTCCACCTCTGCCTTGTTATTTGATGTTCCAACTCGCCACTCTTGCCGCGTAGACGCCCGTCCGGCCCAGCCAGTCCTTGCTCCGCGGGAGCGATGGGATTGGAGGAGGGAAAGGTGCCGTAGACGTAGAGGTGGTCCATATATAGCTATCCCTAAGGGTCCAGGACTATCCTGAGGATGTCCTTTGACCCCCCCAAGACCATTCTCAGGAAGTACTTTCACCTCCAAGGCCATCCTCAGGAGGTACCTGGACCCTATAGCTATATATGGCCGCATCCTATATAGATAGAAGATCTAAGATGAAGCAGGATGCGAAAAGCAGGATGCTTAGCTGGTGATCCTTTTTTGGCCAATGACCAGTTGTGTACCAGTGGATCATTGTGGTGAGAGAACATATGACCAGTTGTTGCAGCGTTCCAACCATGTTTCAACCATGTTAGACCTTGTTTGCCGCGGACCCCATGGTACCAGGGTGGTTTATGGATCCCTCTTAACCTTTTTTTTCCTCTCCATGCAGGGCTAATCACCCCGAAGCAGGGGCCCTGGTAGATGGACCATGCTTCTCAGCATGTTGAAACTGGACACGCTCTATTTGAGAGATGATTCGATTAACTATGTGCACTCCGGCTCACTAACATGGAAGTGAACAATGGCCGCTGCATGCCAGTGTAACGACCATTTTCCTCTACAAACAGCCAGGGAGTGTAGACTAGACCATTTCCACTACCATTTCCGCTTCCATGTTGATTCCACGGAGTGTAGAGTAGAGCTGGGCTTCTCTTTTGCACCAAATACCTCAGTTCGCTTTTCCTGATGAGGTGCGACTGGCCAACCGTTTGGGCCCCCCAGATGGTTTCAGTCCATTTCGGTTCGCTGGTTCGGGTAGCGGGGGGGTCTTAACAGTCTAACCTAGTCTAACCTGAGGATGGACAGGAGCCTGAAACTAGGATCCTTTATCCAGTCCCTCAAAGGTGCCTCGTCTGTGAAATGCTGAGCTTTTGATTTTCCCCAGCGTCCTTGGGGCAGTGTCCGCAGTTTGCAGCACGAACTGCCAGCCTCCGACGGTCAATGGTTTGACCTGTTGGGGTCGGCGAACCCTCTTTTTTTCAGGAGAGGCAAGAGAGGTTGAAGAACCCGAACCAACTAGGCCATCCCAGTTCGGTACCTCAGGTTACGGGTCTTATGAAACCGGGTCACTTATATAACCTCCGTTGGAGGACGCTGGAGGATGGTAGAGGACATTCACTGTCGTGATGCTGTTCCCCGACGGTCACTGGCAAGTTGGTTGGACTAGCCGGTGGTGCTCCATCTGCGAGGAATGAGGAGCGAAATCCATCGATGTTGCATGCACGTATAGATGCCACAAGCTATATGGATCATCACAGAAGGGGCATATATCATATCATATATTGACCAGGATCGTCACAGAAGGGCGCTTGATATATGAACCAGGGTCATCCAGCAACCTGGAACATTCAAAGGCCTTGCCTTGACTGTTCGAATCCACGCCACCAAAGCTGCATAGGCATTGGGGGTAGGTGCCAAACATCAAAACAGAAGCACTTAAAAAGAACATAAAAGAACTCCAGAAGATGACCCCATCTCTCCACCTCTTCATAATCCTTCTATAGATCTACCTATACTAATCGATCTTTCCACTTCTTCATAATCCACCTCTTCATCATCCTCTCCACCTCTTCTACTACCAAGAGAGGTTAAGTGACCTTATAGGACCGTAACCTGGGGTACCTATGGGATAGTCTATAATAGTCTATAGGGTTCTTCAACCTCTGTTGGTATATATATGGACTCCGCGTTCTTCCTTTCCTCTCCACCTCTGCCTCCCACGAGTGGACCGAGCCGGGCCGAGGCATCGCGCATCTGACGCATCTGGATCACATGGAAGGCTGTCCGTTGGGGCGGCCCAGTTGGAGGTGGCGGCTGGGCCCGGCTCCAGGCGGCCTGCACGAGCCGGCCACACCGCGACTGGACGCGACGCGCGTGGTGACCGTGGGGGACAGCAGGGCTCCGCAGAGGGGAGGTCGGGCTGTTCGGGCCGACCGCAGACTCGGAGAGTCGATCAGATCGGGTTCTGAAAGAACCGTTCGTTCGTGAGGGGGCGCTTTCCTGTCCGTTGTGGAAGGGAGGGGGAAGGCCGCCTGGTTGTTTCCTGTGTGGCTTGCTGCGTGACAGGGGGGGTGCTGAGACCTTGTATGCTAAAAGGATCATCTCAAGGTCCTGAGACCTGAGACCGTGAGATGGAAGTGTTCTTTACGACCCACCCCTGTCCCTCCAGCCAGGGTCGAGCTTCTTTCTTCGTCCTTGCCTGGGAGGTCTCCCTATAAACATCCATATCATAGGTTGGCTTTGTCCCATTCCCTGCAACAGTCGGCGGTAAACTAAGAACATTCGGCAATTTTTTAGATTCATGGATGGACCTACCACTGGCATCAGGATATCGCTGGTAAACTAAGAACATCGCTATATCCCTGCAACCAGGCCCCATCATCACACTGGCAGTAGGATCTACCCATACAGGGCTGGTGGCGCCCAGCCGCGTCGGGCGGACCGCGCGCACCTGGACCGCGCGCCCTAAGGGCCCTGCTGTGCGCCCGGGCTCGGCTGGTACGGAGGTCTCAGAGTTCAGGCTCGGCTTACTGGAAGGAGGTTGGTTGATGGTGGGTTAGGTAGAAGGAGGTTGGTTGATGGTGGGTTAGGTACCGTTTTTTATGGTATAGCCCAGGCACGACCCATGGGACTGTCATCTTTCCCTACCTTAGGGTGGTTTGAGGGGTCAATATGGCACCGCCCCATGGAGTGCCTGGGTCCCTCCCCGGGGGTCGAAATGCACTTTAAGACACGCCCATGTCTTTTGGGCATGTTTTGGGGTGAGGGAGGCAAACACCGGACGATTTCGCCTCCAAGTTTGGGGCAGCAGGTGTCTAGGTGTCTCGAGTTGGGGCAGGCGAAGCATGGCGAACCGCGGGTGTTCTCTTGAGACGCATCCAGGACCGTGAGTTCGGCGCACTTGAGGTTGGCCGAACCCTCACCCTTCCCAAACGATCCATGGGGCAGCAGTCCTGCCCTGCCAACATGACTGGTGGCTGCACTGGTGGTGTTCATGTAGGTCATATGGATCCTGCCCCATGGATCTTGCTTTTCTGTGCGTATAATTCTCAAGACCCACTCCATAAGACCATGTAGGCGGGCTTTTCGTTGGGTAGGCTTGCAGTCTCAGTCTCATATGCGTCGGGTATGCTTGCGTCGTGGCGACGGGCATCCCCTGATGTTGATGCGAAAAAGCCGACACCTTCTGGTTCTGAACTTGGATGATGCAGGTGATTGCTGCGTCTGGATCAGTAGTTGCTCAGCTTGATGAGGAGGAACTGCGTCACATGGTGGAAAGCGGGAAAGTTGTTAGGGACCTCAAGCGACTTCTTTCAGCTCTGCTTGGGTGCTCAAGGTTTCAGCAAAGACTCTTCAGTGACGAAATTGGTGAGTTGGAGGATGACTTACCTTTGACACCACTACCAAGTGTGCAACTGGTACTCCTGCCTCTGCGTGTTCCAGATGAGAACATGCAGAAAGAACTTCTTCGGAGCTGCCGGGAGAATCAGGTTGCGCATCTCGAAAGACTGCTTCACCAGCCACAGGACCCGACCGGAAGAGGTGTGTTTCTTGCGGCTGAGAATGGCCACCTGGAAGTTGTGCAATTGTTGCTGGAGGCTGGGGCTGACAAAGATGCCGCGCATGAAAATGGTGCAGCGGCTGTGCAGATTGCAGCTCAGAATGGGCACTTGGAAGTTGTGCGATTTCTGATCGAGGCTGGAGCTGACAAAGATGCAGCAGACGCAAATGGGACAACGGCTTTGCACATGGCAGCTGTGTTTGAACACCTGGAAATTATGGAATTGTTGCTGGAGGCTGGAGCTGACCAGGATGCAGCAAATGCAGATGGGACAACGGCTTTGTACATTGCAGCCCGGGGGGGGGCATGTGGAAGCTGTGCGCTTGCTGCTCGGGGCTGGAGCCCGCTTAGATGCGACAGATGGGGAGACGCCTTTGTACATCGCAGCCCAGAAAGGCCACTTGGAAGTTGTGCGATTGCTGCTCGAGGCTGGAGCTGACAAAGATGCGGCAACAACAAATGGGGAAACGGCTTTGTACATTGCAGCGCAAAATGGTAACTTGAATGTTGTGCGATTGTTGCTCGAGGCTGGAGCTGACAAAGACACTGCAACTGAAATTGGTGCAACGGCTGTGCTTATTGCTGGGCTGAGGGGTCACTTGGAGGTTCTGCAATTGTTGCTCGAGGCTGGAGCTCACACAGATGTATCAGCGGCAGATGGTCTCTAACATTGA